AAAAAATTCAAAGGGAAATGAAATGGGTCGGTAGGTGATTAAATCTTCTGGGAAGGTTTTCAATCTTCACAGGATTTGATCTCTTGGCCATTTCGTTTCCCAGTGAAGTTTGTAAACTTATTTCTTAATGAAAAAATTCTATCACATCATATTTCACCAAAGTATATCAAGTTTGACTCGCCGTTTATTTATTTCTGTTTGACTCGTTGACAACAGTAATTTTCAGATATTTGATTTTATTTCAATATCAAAACATCATAGAGGGAATGTGAACAAACTAAGGCTTCTGAAAACTACGAAAGAGAAACAGCTACGATGCACTGTAAACACTGAGATCGTTTACCATATTTTCTAGATAACCACTGTACCAGAAATCCAGGCCTAATAAAGAATTTGCAAGGGACTTTTTCGTCTTCTAAATAATTAAATTATTAGCGGATCTATTTTTGTATCCATATGAAGCAGAATTTATTCAAAAACTTCTGTGGCCTTCAACTCGACAATTAGATATATTGACGACGTATTATTGGATTAAACTTTCTTTTTGAAAAATATTATCGATGTGTAAACTCTTGACATTTTACTCATAAACTAAATAAAAGTGCGAAGCACTTTTATGCTAAGTTTGTGAGTAAAATGTCAAGAGTTTACACATCGATAAATTTTTCAAAAAGAACGGTTAAGGAGGGATTCTTGTCTGGTTTCTGACTAGATGAAATATTCAACTATATTTGCTTATATATTTTATACATTTAGATGTAAGAGATTTAAAAGATCATATTTTTCTTTCCTCATCACAATTGTACAACTTTAAATAGAAATGGTAAACTGAGTTTGAAATCTAGCAGGGACTATATTTTTGGCGGAATGGCGGCGTATGAAAATATCTTCTTTTCTGCCTCTCAAAATAATTATAGAAGAATGAATTTAGTTATAATTTTTACACAATCAAAGACTTGGAAAAATTTTTAAATGTAAGTTAAATTAATAATAAGGGACTAAAGTTTTCAAATATATCAAATAAATATGATTTTCCAAGTAAAATCCGTAAAAAGTGTTTTTTCTCTCTTAGTAAACGGTCAAAACTTTTTGTTTTTATATCATTTGTATCTTTATATGACAGCTTTACCATATGTGAAAATAAGAAAAAATTAAATATAGGAAGCATATAAAAATAACTAAAATATCTTAAAATTTTAAGAAAAATAGAGAAAATTCGGGTTAGCCAATATCCATTTTAGTTAAATTATTTATGACAAATTGGTAATATCATCTTATAGACCCTATATGGTAATATCTCTTTATGCAAAAAGAAAAACATTTAATTTATTGAAATAGAATTAGACATCGCATGATTGGCAACAGTAATTTTTTATTCTTAATGTCCAGGGAAAAGGTACTGACCTTGATCTGACCTTGCCTCTAATATAAAACGGTCAAATTTAATCTAACTGATACCATCACTTAGTGATATTGTCTTCTTGATTCTGTGAAAATTTCATTGATTTTTAAATATAAGAAATAAGTGTTCTTATGAGAAGAATCCCTCTTTATTCTTATAATTCCAATTAAGAAGTTAAAAATTATTTCTCTTTGGAGCCTCCATACGATCCGTTATTTCTGTACACAGCGTAGGAATACTTTATGTCGCTATGTGGAAAGGAAACGTAATCGAGATGAACATCGATAAAGTTTAACTTAAATTGTCAAAACATTCAATAAAACAAACTTATGAAAACTCTTCAACGAATATCGTAAATACAAGTAAACTTTAGAAGAATTCGTCCTTGACCATGTTGACATTAACAACAGACGCGCTAAAATGAAAGTAGCATACCGACGACGCCCTTGATTTGCTCTGGATTGTTTAAAGACGGGACAGAATATAGGATGTAGAAATATGAATTTGATGCTGATAAGGCAAGATTCTGAGGTACGTTTCTCTTTCCTATCAGCTACCGGGAACTGAGCTGATTTGCTTAGCATTTAGGAACGACTATAATATCCTATGAGAGATCTGACAGTGGCATAAACCGTTAAACATAACATCCCCGTCTGTCAGTCCTGTATGTCGTCAGTATTGTTTTTATTCAATTTAAAGTTTCTGTAATCGTTTAGCTAAAACGAACTAAAAGTAACGATTTGTTTTCATTTTTTTTTACAATAAAAGCTACATATAGGACAAGAAAGTAGTTCCTGTCTGATTGAGAGATTTATCGATGTGTAAACTTTTTCTTGAATTTGCTCTCGTCCAATCAAAACACAGGAAATCAATAAATAAAATTAAATTGGAATTATTATCAATTAACAATAGTTAATTCCATTCATATGTCGACTCGATATATCCCAGTGAGCTTGAAATGTAAGATACCACAAGAGTCTGACACATCTGTTTCATATTCAGATATTTTACTAGAAAAAAGATTTTAATGGTATTCTAACAACAACGCTTTATAATAAACATGATGACTTCAATTTTTCAATCGTCAACTTCCTTTACTCATGTAGCAATTTACCCTTTTCACCTGCATATGAGGTTTGTGTCTCACACTTGATTCGATACGCAAAAGCATGCTCTACATATGAACAAAATCTAAAACGAGGCAAGCTATTGAGAAACAAGTTGATGAAACAAGAATATCAACAGTCTCCTTTGAAGACATCATTTCACATGTTGTATGGTCGATAAAATGACCTTGTCTGCAAATACAACCTATCATTAAGTCAAATGCTGACTGATGTTTTTCATACCAATTGTTAAGCCATTATTCACACACTGAATTGTCTACGGATTTTCCCGATGTTCCCTATCGTACAAAGGAGCAAAAGGCGGGTGTAACCGGTCGGCAGGGGACACCTGATCCCACGTCTAATGTTGTTGGAGCTCCTTGTCTCCATAATTTATTTCATTCATCAATTGATATGCTTTTATCCATGAAAAAATTGAAGATAACGAACAGTGATCGATCTCAAAAAATTTATAAGGTATACAAATCTGTGAAGAGGGCATAAAACACGGACCCCTAGAAATTCTAGAGGTGGGATCAAGTGTCTAGGAGGACTGGTCATGAGCCCTATCTATTGATCAGGTAGACGGAACATTCCGTAGTTACATTCAGTATAAAATGACCTAACAATTAACATACTTCTAACTCACTTTAGAATTGTAATTATGTAGTGCGTGTCATTACTCTCAAATATGATTGCATTGGATTATAGCAAATAATTCTGACACATATTTTCCCCATTTGCTCGAGATGCTTAGCAAAGGCATTACAAATTCTTTGACAGATTAATTTTCTTCGAAACTATACAAAAGGGAATGATACGTACGTTACGTATGTATGTTCGTTTTCAGACGTTTACGTAAATGTGTGTCAAGATTTTTTTTTGTTCGATTGTTTTGGTCGTCATTTTTTCCTGTAAACACTATCATCATTATCCTAGAGTGTATTTTAAAGAAATAAAAAACAAAGCCCTGGCATGTCTTAAAGCAATATTTTTTGTTCTAACTCTCTGTTTTAAAAACATGAAGAAAAAAACACGATCATGTTTTGCATTAGAAATAAATAATTTTATTCATTTTAAAATCACAAAAATAGTGGATGGCATTTGTTATAAATTAACAATTAATCACAAATTACACATGACAATCACAAATAAATAAGTTGTCCCTCATAAGAAGGTAGCTTAAAATAGCACCTGTAATTCCATTAATTGTTCAGCCATATGTACATATGACTTTAGCAATTTAAGGAACAGAATGCAACCACGCAAAGACAACGTGCTATAAAGGATGATAAAGGCACATACTTTTTCACATCTTTAAAATTTAAGGCCGTTAGATAAATACAATTTCAGATAATTAGAAAAAAAAATATGAGCATATTATTATCAAATCATTCTCTGGAATATGTATAAAAATTTAAGACGAAGAGGTCATTACCCGTTCTGTACTAATGAATATTAAATATATTTTACATTTTTCCTTTAACAGCACAGTTCTTTGTATAAATACTCTAAACCCAAAGTTCATATCATCATATATGTCAATTTTCGTCAGGAGATAGGTTACTTATTCAAAATCTAAGCAGCAAATGTTACTAATATAATAGCACACTTATTTGTACAAAACATTAAACAGCTTAAAAAATGTATTCAAATTTCATATCACCAAATGACAAACTTCTTCCAAAAGAGTTAATGACACATATAAATGCTAACGAACAAATGCTAAAACCAAAAAATAGTTTAATGATGCACATTTAAAGTCTCTTTGGTTAAATTTGGAGAATTAATAAATATTCTTCGTGGTAAAGTAAAACAAGTATTCTCATTGTCTTAAGTTCATTCAAATTTAGTCATCATTGTTTAACTTTCGTTCAACTTCATTGTTAACATGTTTTTAAGCGCATTCAATTATAATTCAAAAGAAAATGTCTTTATTTCCTACCTATCAAATCAAAAATTTGGTAAAACATGAAAATGTGCACAAATGCACTGTCATGAAAGGATGGTATTTGTAGATTCAAACATGAAAATATGATCTGAGATCAAGTAATAAAGCCTTGTGTCGAGACTCAACAGAAGAAAAATGTCCATTTATGCCATTAACTGCTCATAATGCAAGTGGGATTCAATAGCTAAAATGTTAGCACATTTGACTAAAGTATGGAATTTTTCTTCAAATGGGAAACAACAAAAAATGTTAATGACAACAATAGCATCAGATCTTGATGAACAATAACGAAAATAAGTCGAAACAGAATTAAGATCATATACATTACATGATCGTCAAGTAATATCACTGTTTAATTTTAATTCAAAATTGAAATGAAAGACAATATGTAATCGAATACGTTAGCTACAAATATCACAACATATATGTCTAGAAATACAATCATCTTTGGTGACAATTAGGGAAGCAAAAGACTTCAAAATATTTTGAACAGTAAACAGACTATATAAAGCTACAAAAAAGCAATTCAGCCAACAAAAAAAAGTAAAAAGAAAAATACATAAAAATTAAACAAATATGCTTAAAACCTGATGACAATGGATGCATGGGGAAAATGACGATGATTATTTTTTCTTAAAATCGAATTTATTCGAATCAGATCTCGTTTGATTTAGAAAGTTTATTAAACAACTGGAAATTATACAAAGAAAGTACTTCTCACGAAATCGAAAATCAAATTGTGAAGATCAATGCAACATTTAAAAATTAAAAGAATAAAAACGACGAAACCTAGAATAGCATTAGTCAGAATAGTTCTTTTTAAAAGAAAGTAGCAAGCGGATTTAAAATAACAATATACATTATAAATGATATCACATTTAAAGTCATCAGTGCAAAGTTTTGGCAAACAAAAACATAATGCTGGATTTAGCAGGTTCCACGTTAGTATCCCCTCTAAATATTCCGTTTGTTGAGGGATCAAAACGATACTAAGTGTTCCTGTCTTCAAAAACATGAAAACTACATGCTCAAGTGTTGAGCGAGACAATAAAAAACTTTGTATTACGTTAATTAAATAAATACAACAAACTTCAGGACCATTTATATCAAAATGTACATAAATTAAAGATAAGTACAATATATAACTACAACAAGACAATAGTTATTCAAAAAAGGATTTTTTTCTTAATTTTAACAACAAAATTTAACGATTTTGTCCGAGAAAATCAAAAATTGACATACTGCTACCAAGTCTTTTCCTGAATAACCTACAATTACAAGACCCATTCACTTCAATTTTGGCCCACATTTCGTCACCGTGCACATCACGGACAAAAGCGTCAATATATATTTTTTTAGTCACACATTCGGACCTAAAATTATCCGTGTCGATTCCACGACACGATTGTCCCGAGTCCACACACTTGGTTTCATAAATAAACTGTTTTAATCGCTGGCCTCCCGACCATCGATGAGACAGAACTTGCACTGGAAGGTCATATTGAGTAATGGATTCATTAAGCTGGACCCACTCACTTATACTATCACAGACACTTAAAGGTTCGTGGTCATATTGCTCACTATGTCCCGTTCTACTTGAACGTCGCCTTCTGCTTTTCTTTATTCCGTGATTATGTCGACGTTTCTTATTTTGTTTTCGATTTTTCCTTTTATTTTTTCTTAATTTCTTTTGTCTCCTTTTCTTTTTACGGATGTTTTTAATTCTATATGCAACTGCTCTTTTTGTACGAGTTTTTATTCCCTCTGATGGTGGCAAACTTGGTTCATCTACAGAGAAAGCAACACGGGATTGTATTTCAAAAAGCCCGTTATTCACAACTGGGAAATAAGAATTGTCCTCCGCTCGATGTTCCCAATCTGTTGGTTCGTTTGGATGATTCAGAAGTAAACTGTTTCCTTTCTGATCCGTTTCGGTATTTCTTAATATCAAGGACTCAGCGGTGTTATGGAGCACCATCAGGATGAATATGAACATGGCTGCTGACCACGTCTGAAAAATGAGATTATAAATCAGTAGAATGGTGTGTTTAATGTTTTGATGATAAAACGGCTTACATTCTTCAAACATTTATTATCAGTTTCTTTTTCATTTATATAATACTTCTATTAATTGATTTGAATAATTTGAATTGATGTATCTCAATTTAATGGTTTGTTCTTAAATTGAACAAAGAGTAATGAATCATAAGATAAATTAAAAAAAGAGGGTTTTATAGAATTTCTTTTAATTAAATTTAAGCTTACCCTTATGTCCGTGAATGAATTTAAGTTACTCATGTTGTTAATTCCATTTACAGAGCAAAAAATCGTAAGTAATATAATCCATGATCTCCAAATTAATCATCAATATATGTCAAACTGTATTTTAATATGTCTCAATATTCCTTAAACACAGAAATTTAAAAAAAAAAAAAAACACCAGAAAAAATTACAGTCTATGATTCAACATCGCATTCATATATCACATACAAATAAATTTAAATAGTACGCACATATGAAAGACGATTTTCACAACAAAAGCCTAAGCACTATGCAGTGAGCGCACTGCATCTACTTATAAGCCAAGGAAAATCACTGAAGGCTTGTCAAGAGCGGGCACAATATATATAGGATTCTCGCGTTCTTCAGTGACAATGTCGCATGAGTCGTAACCGCCTCAACGAAGGTATACCAGGAGAGACACATATGCTGGTCCTCATATTAATGAATATATAGGTCATTTTGTGTGAACTTGAGGGCACGAAATGCTATGTAGACAGCAGCGATTAATTACTAGGAATTTGTTTGATAATTGATAAGTGACATACAATTGATTTTTTTTTTGTCTCTTAATCGTTGAGACTATGCGAGTTATCTTTTCTCTCACAACCATTTACTGCACTTAACCGGAAGATTAAAGTATTGTACTATCTTTTACAACTGCAAATTATATAAATGATAATGCTATTGGCATTTGGAAGTCGTTTTGGAAAGCTTTTTTTCATTTATACGAAATACAAGAACTACATCACAATAGAATTCTTCACTTACAAAATTTTGTGTAAATTTAATTGAAAAGAATATGTTTCAATTCGAAAAAGTATAATAATGTAAAGTCAGATGTGCATGTTTAGTCTAATAAAGTCATATTTTATACCAGTATTTGTCCCCGGAACTACGCGCAATATACAATGAGATATCTTTGGTTTTTTATATGAAATGTACAATAAATTTGCAAAATTTGGTTCGTAATTTAAATACTTTGTGTTGTCTTTAAATGCTTCTTGTACCACAAACAAGCAAGTTGGACGAAAAACTCTTTGATCAGCAGTATTAAACATATAAAACTATATGGTCCCAGGGAACTCTCTACAATAGGAATTTGTTGCGGTTAGAAGAAAAACATTAACATTTTGAACATTACGGATTTTAATGGAATTTCTATGCCTGTATTCAATTCTTTGAAGTGTAAAATTGGAAAGGACTTGAATGCCCCGGTGTTATGATTTTTGTATGTGAATCTTGCGAAAAAATTAATGTCGCCATATTCTTTTTATAGCATATTCCCCTTTTTTTTAAATGTACGATAAAATATCATGCACAAAGAAAATTAATTTCAACTAATAATTACTTTTTCTGGTTTTCAGCAGTCAGTCTATTTCAAAAGGGCTAATGTTGACTCAAAAAAAGTTCGCTATGCAGAGTTAATACTTTATTTACTGCAAGTTATTAATTTTAGATTTGTATCCTTTTTTTAGTTTTAATTTTGGTACAGTTCACTATATGACGTACGGTTATTTCTGCAAATATTATTCCTAACTCCTTTAATGATGTACTTCCGATTTTGCATTAACAAGTTATCTATTAAGTTATTTCCCGATCATGACAAGGAGCACACAACGGGTGTGACCGGTCGGCAGGGGATGCTCACTCCTCCATGGCACCTGATCCTACCTCTGATGTTTTGGAGGTCCGTGTTTGCTCTGCACCTATTTTGTAATGTTTAATGGACTTTTGAGCTTGAATACTGTTCGCTTTTTCCATATATTTCACTATAGAACCTAAGTTGTAGAACTTGTGTCTTATCCTTTTGACTTTGTCAATAAAATATGTTCAATTCAACAACTTGTTTTCACTTAAATAATTTTTGAAATGCAAGAATCCTTTGAAATAAAGTGAGCAGTGCGCCGTCCTACATACATTCTTATAAGATTTCTCATATGAACACATCATTGTTTACATAGTAACCGTCATCTTAGAGATTTTATGATATGACCTACCGCTATACAATGTACTCTGCAAGAAGAATATGTGCAGTAGAAAATGATACGTATAGAACTGACGCATACTTTACGAAGTTTCTGTCTAGTTAAATTCGGGAAACTAATGTCAGCTGATTGCAAACTGTGATGTCATTATTCATGCACGAAAACTAAGTTTAAAAATATATAATGGCACTGATACTTGTTTCTTTTATGACTTGCATAATAACAATGTTCATTTCCACCTTCATCAATTCGATTGTTATTCATTATTTGATGAAACTTTTTACTTTAAAAACAATTCAACCTCAATATTTTTAAAGGATTAATTTTTGACAAAGCTTCAATACGTCATAGAATTGGTAATTTTAAAAATGAGAGTGATTGAATACTCTGCTTGCCGATGAATATAAGATACCAAAATTATAAATCCAGGATATATGTATATGCATAACAAACAGTAATTAAAGTAACAAACAATTTATTCATGATGTAATTATAGCCATAATGTTTAAACAAAACATTAAGAAATCCGTTAGTTATAAGCATCAAACTTGTCAGCACGAATATTCTATAAAGTTGTTAGCGAACAAAAGAAAACCAACAAACAATTATAAACACACTCATAAATAGTGGATTTAAAAAAAATATAATGCAATATACTAATTAGGAAAATCAATAAGATAATACTTTAAGAGAATTTATAAGTCAAATATAAATAATGATATAACTATATTATTTTCAATCAGTTCTAAACTGTCTTTGTTATAAAAATTCTCAAATTAAAATAAAATTCCTTATAATTGAAAAAGAAATAAACGCAAAACATAATATTAAACAAAATACAATATAAGAATCCATGATATTTACTATTCATGATTTTAATAAGTTATATTTCACGTATTCTAGGTATTGATTTTGAAAAAAGGCATTTCAAAAAAATGTTAGATAAGAAAATATTAAATACATGTATTCATTACATGTTAATTCTTTAATTCTTGATTTAAAAAAAAAACAACATTTTTTATTGATTGAGCACTACGATGACTCATACATTGTTATGTATTTAAGTTTGTGGTATCCCTAACGTACATTCTTAAATTTATTTTAAAAACAGTTTTACACGTGGAGTTTAACGTGAAAATGTATAATTTAGTAATTGAAATATTATCCTAATTGAAGTAATAAAACATGTAATAATTTATTTTTCCTTTAAATAGTTTGTGTCACAATGAACTCTTGACGTCTCGCTGTATGTAACTTAAATAGAATATACTGAGGATGATACTTCACGAAGCTGTCAAAGAGTCAATTTATCTGTCATATGAAAATTGTGTAAACCGTTTAAGAGTTTTAAATATAATTTGTATATACAGATGAAAATGTATGAATAGAGAAATATAGTGAAAAAGACGAAATTCAAATGACTGTTTTACATTTGGATTGGAAATACATAACACAGTAATTCGTTTTACTAGAACTTGGGCCATTTAATTCTGACTGACGTTTTTATACTAATTGTTAGGCCATTATTTAAGCACTGAAATGTCTACGGATTTTTCCGTTTTCCCGATCATGACAAGGAGCATACGGCAAATGTGACCGGTCGGCATGGGATGATTGCTCCTGCACCTGATCCCACCTCCCATGTTTTTTGAGGTCCTTTTCTCTGCTCCCGATTTGTATTTTTTCAATGGACTTTCGCGCTTGATTCCTGTTCGTTATCGCTATGTTTTAATCATAAAATTTATGATTTTCTTTTTCTTAAGTAAACAAACTATATTAAAACTTCACAATCAAAATTCAATTCTCTTTATAATAACCTGAATTCTTAATGATTAAACATTATGATTTCTTTTCATCTCCAATTTCCTATATAAAAAAAGTTAACTTTCTCAAAATGTAAATGGTTAAGTCCTATTGCTAAAAACAGTATTTAGCTTTTTAAGAAAGTTGTGGTTTTGAATGTGAAAACTCAAAAAGATATTTAAGAAAATTTTATTATCTATTATTAAATTAAAATTGCTTCTTTCTACTAATTAACAATATCTGACCATAACAGTTGGTTGGCAATTATTCATATAATATTTTGATATCGTAAATTGTTGCATGATTTTTTTTTTTTAATTTTGAAAAAAAAAAATCAGCAGCACTCTACTCTTGTCTTAGGTCTATGAATAGTGCTGAAAAACAGCTGCTGTGTTGGGTATTCATAAGAAAGGGGTAATTTTGACAAATATTAAAATCTAAACTACAATTTATGTAATATTGCAATGCGCGTATTATATCATATGCAAAAGAACAGAAAGTTGATATTCAAATATATTAAATAAAAATATTTTTAATGTGTTCTTGTTATTCATAGATTTACGTGTGTATTTAAGTGTTACAATAGGAATAAACGTCTATGAAAGAAAAAGCGTTATCCAACTTACTCACCAATTCTACAATACAGTCCATTTCTGTTGATTTACAATGAGCATGTCTTGGCACATCTAATACTAATATATTTACAATGAATTATAATTTCTACCATTTATCACTATACAACTCCAATCGTGACGCAAAAAGTACGTTTTTTAGGGTAAGCGTGTTAACATTTCATTTTGACGAATAGAATTATTAGAACTTAAAATGTTTAGGAGAGTAAAATATCCCATCATCGTTTCCTACCTACTTGTAAATGAATAGCTCTCCTAATATTTCAAATAGAGGGAAATTAATTTCTTGAGCAACTCATTGATGTTAATGTTTTAAATTTAATCGTAAGAAATTATTTCCCCCCGAATTTTAAGAAGAATAAAAACGTCTTGGGAAACATATTTTATTCTGTATAAAACGTTACTTTCATGATGCAGTTTGTACAACTCAAAAGGAATATTTCTGTTTACTGACTGACCTTTTTTATAGAATGATATATGAAAATAAAAAAAAACAGTAATCGAACTCAAAAGTCAAATGAAATAACACATCTTGGAAGCAGGGCATGGACCTCCAAAACATCAAAGGTGGGATGAGATGTCATAGAGGAGTAAGCATCTCCTGCCGACCGGTCACACCACATTGTCCTCCTGTCATGATTGGGTAAACGAAAAGAAAATCCATAGAAAATTTAGTGTTAAAGCAATATGAGCTGCTTTTTGA